CAGAACTTTGTTTGAGGGGTGATAACTTGTGAAGTAGTTAGTAAAACTATCAAAGTAGATGCAGGTTATTTTAATCTCAGCAAGATAGTGGAACGAAGATAAGATTTGTTAATCCTTTAGTCCTACCTGCATGGGAGCCCACTAGTTATATTAGAGATGTAAAACTTAACAGTGTCTTTTAGATGGCGCTATGAGGGCTTTGCTGTAACACCCTGCAAAGCAGCTCATTCTTCCTGCAGTCATGACGAACTGACAGGAAGGAGTTTCACTGTGAGATCTGAACAGATAATGACGTTCACGTTATCTCCTAGATCAGCTTTTGTCTCCTCTGTGTCTTTCTGACTTCCCATCCGTGAACACTGCCATTACATCTTTTTCACGGCTGGTATTTTTACCTGTCTTGAAAACACAGGTGTCACTTACAACATAAATGATGGCTCTTTTTTCATTTAAGTGCTTCAGTAAGCCATGCCAGTGAGCCAGCAAGCACAATAGCTGGGCAGTGGAATTGGGATCTAAATGGAATGCAGCCATCATTCATGTTAGTAATTATGCTTTTTATGCTATGAAATGCCAAAATGTCTGCCATAAAAGAAGGTCCATCGTCCTCTCTGGAACTCCTCAAATCAGGTTTGTAAATGTGTTTTTCTGCTAATCCACTCAACTATAATTAATTCAGGCTCTAAGGAGTAAAGCAGTGTTAGGTTTGACTTGTTTTCAGGTAATTGGTGACTGTGAATTCAAATGTAAACTTACAGCTGTTTACCTGAATAAAGTCATCATATCCACCAAATTAAGAAATAATGGAGAAGAAGAAATTAATGTGAAAGCAAATTGCATTTTTACAGTTTCAACCCACCATATTGATGGTTGCAGAGCATCAGATGAAAAGAGCAACTAAAAGCATCAGAGTCATTGCTCTGTAGGCCTGATGTGTTTCAGTGTCTCACCACATACTGCCATGGCACTCTGGAAAAAGCCAAAGTTCCTTGCAATAGATGCCAGCTGGTCAAGTCCCAAAGCTGATTATTTTGGGAATGGGGTTGCAGCGTGTGTGTGTGTGTGTGTGTGTGTGTGTGTGTGTGTGTGTGTGTGTGTAGGGTGGTGGGGGTCTTCCTCAACTATATCTAAAGACCCATTTCTCCACAGGGTGGTGTGGACTGGCCAATCAGAATGAATTGTTTTCAATATCAGGTCATAGAGGAATCAGCTAACAAATACTTGAGAAATGTCATGTTTCTGTAAAATTGCTGGCTTTTGTGCTTATTTTACTGAAAAACAATGATTATTTTCTTAGATTGTGTTTTTATGTTTGTATTTTCTGTCAGTAAAGTACTTGCCATGTAGAATTACATTTTGTGTGTGAATCAAGACCTTCCCAGTTGAGTCAGCCCTACTTCTGCAAAGGACAGAGGTGTCTATACAGCCAACAACAAGGTACTCCCTGCTACAAATATGCGTGTGTGTGTGTGTGTGTGTGTGTGTGTGTGTGTGTGTGTGTGTGTGTGTGTGTGTGTGTGTGTGTGTGTGTGTGCTCTACTGACCTAGCCTGACCTTGCGTTCCCATTCCCTCCCCTACTGTCATGAGTGGGCAGACACAAAATCACAGCTGAATGTTCAGCCCCAAGGTACCATCACATCTGATTGCACCAAACCATTGGTTTTGGAAAATGCTGTAACATGGTGCTGTGTCCTGTAGTGAAAAAAAAATCCTACCGAGGCATTTTAGCACCAAAGAAAAGAGAAAGAAAATTTATTTTGAATGGCATACCCATTTTGACACGTAAGATCGTATTATTGGCATTTCGTTTGTTGTGTATTTACTAGTTTGCATGATGTCGTATTACTTAGCCTCTGATTAGACAATCAACACTAATGTTTGTCCCTATCTGCTGGATGTGCAGTAGTTTGCCTTATTAACTAAATAGGCAATGCTATGCCAGTGTTGTGTTCACAGCCAAAACAATCTGTTATTGCAGGTTTAATTAGTTTTATTTGCCTAACCATTGCCATACTTCAGTTTTCGTATGTGGAGTATATATAATAGTACTAACCAATTATGAGTAGTTGTGAGTGCGCATTTAGCAGATGTATGTTAATTATGGCTTCTCGGTTTCTAAACTGATGTTGCATCATCCATTAATTTACCACCCGAAGGAACAAGAAAAAACACATCCCCAAACAACAAAATTAGAGGATACATCACTGATAGCTGACTGTTAGGGGCTGGTTTGAGGTTTGGGGGCGGATTTTTCTTGCACTTTCTTCCACAGACATTTTATAGAATTAAGCCGACGACACCTCCAGGAGACAACAACGGTTTCTGGCATCCCAGAACCACCTCCACACCCGCTGTCAGTGCTGATCAGACCCCTACACGTCTATACGCCACCACCCTGGCATTACACCTACAGTTATGGTTGTGCTTGGCAAACCATCATTGACTGTAAAAGAGGCAACATTTGAGATGTCAAGATGCTAAAATATGTGACAAAAATAGGAGATGGGAATTTGTGCATCCATTGGGGTTTACAAGGAAGGTCGCAGTGGGATCTCTGAAGATCCGAATGTGTGTTTCTAGCTCGGGTGAGTGAGGAATTCAACAATGCATGTATGCATGCGTGCCTGTATGTATGTGTGTGTCTGTGTGCATACACAAGGAGCGTGGGAGGTGTCAGCAGGGTAAGCCACAGGAATCTCACCCTGAATCCGCCAGTGATCAAAGAATCTAATTGCACCATGAGAGTGAAAGGGAGGCAGAAAAAAAATTGGAAGACAGATTGCAAAAACTTGGAGGATGAGTGAAAGGGTGCATTAGTACAGTGTTCTTTTTCCTAAATGTGTAGATAACAGTGAGAGAAGTGAAAGAAATTGAATTAGATGGTGAGAAATGAGAGACAAGGAATACTGAGGAGAAATGGAGATCAAGATGCCATTACTGAATCATCAAAAGATGTCTTACAGTTGTATGATCCTGCAAATATAAATTAATTCAACACACTTTGAGGAATAATGATGATGATATAACACTGCTTTACAGCTTCAACTGTGCAGGAGGAGCCTTAACGAAAGAATCAGTGGCAAGAATGTTTTACTTCAACACATATTTAAGCAGAAGGCAGACAAAGAACAATTTGTCATTCACAGCTACAGTGTGAAGACTTGGCAGAGAGGATGTGTGTGTGTTTGTGCTGGGGGTGGGTGTATAGTTAATACATATTCACACTTCAAAGATGCTTGCATCTACAGTTCTGTGGGACTTATTGAAGGGCTTGTATGGTCACGTTTAACATGAAACTGTTACTGTATAACTGTTTCTGCTAGATTGTTCTGGTTTGCACTGTAATGAACCAACTGATAAGCCAGAGAACCACACTCAATTCTACTTTTTTAAATACATTTTTTCACACATTCCTGTATGGCATTGCTTTGTTTAAGTTGGTTATCTCAAGCTACGCTCTACTGGAAGTCTTTCATCCAAAGAGGAGGAACTAATCAGTGAAATCACACCCCGAATACCTGCAGTCTGTGTGTTGTTTACAGCTGAATGCTACTACTGTAAAAGACAAATATGTGTGAGTTTGTAAGTAAAAGTATATTTTTAGAACACTTTTCAAAACCAGGATCACAAAGTGGTTCACTGTTACAATTGAAAGAATGTAAGTATGTACCAGAGATCGTTTTAAGCATGACCACACTGAGGGGCAAAGAAATGTCTATAAGAATGAGATGTAATACACTCAAGATAGTTTGCTGACCTGTTCCCCCAGAGGGAGACAGTTCCATAACCTGAACCAGGACAGCAAATGCTTGGTCACCAGTCTTGAATAGAAAGAGTATTATAGAGGCGTCCTAGTGGCTTGGTGGTTAAGATCCAAACCATATAACTGCACTGTCCCTCGATTAATTCCGGTCATTCTGGACATTCGTTGCAGTTACCCTTCTCCTTTTTTTTTTTTTTTTTTCAATTTTTAAAAATAAAGAGAAAAAGAGAAATGATTATATCCTAAGCAACTATGGACATCAGATGAAGAGTGAGGCAAGACTACACCAAAAAAAATCACACCTTGAGCTTTCATTTAGCTGAGAGGTTGGCCTCATACCTCACAACAAACAGTGAAAAAGATATATGGAGACATAAAATGCTGCCTGGCTGCAGTATGAAAATAAAATACCTATGTTTGTGTCATGTGGCTTCATGTCACTTTATTTCATGCCTGTTTCCTTTATTGCTGTGGTAGGGTGCTTTGTCGCTGCAACATAGCACACTGGTTCTAAATGGCAAATCGTAACTTTACATCCATGGTTATTTACATGACTGCTGGGGCCTTGTCTACTATTCACATCTCTCTCCGTACAGAGTCATATCACTCATAATATGACATGGTATATTGCTCCCTACAGGGGAATTACTTTTGCATTCACAGTCAAGCAATCATGCTCCTCTGATGGAGACACTCCATGAGGATATGGAGGAATTATTTGAGTGATGTTACAATTACTGATGAAATATTAGGCTCCAAAGTAAATTTGGTAGCAGGTTCATAATTTTGTTAATCTCCTTTAAACAAATCCCAGTGGCATTACAGTTATTGATCATAAAATGCCAATTTTGTTAAATTCACGACCCCCCCTCCCATCAAGTCATTTTTGGGGGGGGGGGGGTGTAGCAGAAAGCAGCACAAAAGTGCAATTACATGTTTTTTAAAAGGTTTGTCATATTGTAACAGGCCCCGTTCTGTTCATCACATAATCCCTAGTGCTGAAACGCATGGAGAGGGAGAAGCTTAATAGGCACCATAAAGTAATGACATTAGAGTTGTGAGTGGTATCAAGTGAGGAGTAATCGATTATTAGTTGGGGAAACGAGTCCCGCTGCAATGGGCTTCACCTGTGGAGGGGGTCTGTGATTGGAGAGGCTTGGCGCTTCACTCCGCCCCACCCGCCCCCCTACCCCCGGCGCGCTGCCCGCCTCCCCAAACCCGGAGCGCACACAGCTCCTCAGTACCTTCCTCTACCAGCCGCATAGTATGAGCTCCCTTATCTCCGAGCAGACGCAGAACGATACAGATGGTTTCATTAGGGTATCCCGCTTCATGCTGACCGAAGCTGCTGTTGTCTAGGAACATTCTCCCCCACTGTTAGCGGTTGTGTATTTTTTTTTTTGGATGCGCCATGCAATCTCGTTGGTGGAGTTGTGGCAGTCGGCTGGTGGCATGGACGTGGGTTTGGAGTGTGGCATTGCTCGGAGCGTGGTGCATCCCCGCAAATGAAGGTAAAACACGCACAGAAACACTTTTGGGTTAATGGCACCGCTGTTTGGTCCGTGGCTGGGCTTTAATTGGCACTGACAGGTCTGACCGGTTAAAGGTCCGTCTTGTAGGCTACCTCTGATGCCCCAGACCGTCGGTCTCCTTCAGCCTGGTTATACGTATCCGACGCCGTTTGATCGAAAAGGAGGTCGCCTTTAAAATCAATTTGTGCTGATAATCTTTATGACATTCGTGTCCCTTAAGTCTGTAATGACTGTGTGTTCCGAAACGGCAAAAAGGTGAAATAAAAAAAGGACCTTTGGACAGAACAAGCGCCCCACCAGATAACCAGTCCTTTGAGGACTTGGCAGCGCCGACGGACGCACAGCGCGCTGCAAAAATCTCTCCATGATCTTAAACGTCCTGTGCTAAGGTGCTCATACTGATGAGTTAACGTTGACCTCAAACCACTTTATTTTAGAATAAAAGAAGAAAAAAAAAGAATCCGCCCTTTCTTGGCTTGGCTTTGTGGTATAGTTTAATTGACCTCCATAGTGATTTTCTTCCCTTATAATAATGGGAACTTCAGGGATTTCGCTGCGATATTTCTCTTCTTTCCATTTTAGCATTGTTTTAGGTTTAGTCTGGCATTCTGTCTTTCAGGGGGGTGAATCGTTTTAACCCCTGAATCCTGTTAACATGCCTCACAGCCAGTGAGTTCAGATAGCTGCCGCTTGCAGTAATGTTACTTATCTTCTCAGATATTCACAGTTTCATTGGCACCCCTCATAATTTGGCGCAATTATTTCCATATGCCGGCACTGGGTTGCAAACTGTTAACTAATCAGTTTTTATCCCAACTGAACTAATGTACCAGCATCCCCTCACTAAACGCCAAACATGGACATTTGCAAAGTGGCTTAAAAGAAAAGGGGGAAAACATGTATCTAACAGTGTGTCAAATATTGTTCCCACGCTATTGTCCGCAGACTGAGCAGCATTTTAATAGCTCGAGATGAACGCCATTGTTTGGGGCTATTAGACAGCATTATCCGGGAAGGAGAGGACATTCATCAACCTGCCTATTCTTCACATGGCATATTTATTTGGTCAAAGTTTGGATTCACAAAAGTGGTTGTGTGACCACAGGACACTCCTGGAGCGGTTTGCAGGGCATGCTTTGGCAATACATAAAATAGTTAAAGTTCACCTAGAATACCTCTTTGTATTGGTCTCTGAAAGACCTAGGGGGTTGGGCATTTCTATTTGTGCTTTATAGAATGAAGTTCATTTTTTATACTGGTGCAAACTGACATACAAGTTCCACAAAAGATTGAAAAGTTCAGTTAAAAGGAGTATTTTACTTCAAATCTATCGAAGTAATTAATCATTGGGTTTGTCGTCTTTGGCACCATAACAAATATCTCCAATTTAATATTAAAATTCTATTAAAAGCAAGCCCCAGGCTGTGAGAATTGTGAATTGTGAATCAGTGGCAGACTGGATCCTGAGTTTGCAGTGAATGAAGAGAGATAAGTCCTCAAAAACACACCCACATTTGATCTCTCACATCATCTTTTCTTTGCTGTCTTCATTTATCGAACCTGTCCTTTGTTTTGCTCTGTGCCAGCACACTGTTCAAAAACTTGTTTTATTTTCTTACAAGTGCGTCAGATCTGACTGCAAAACTGTTGATCATCTAACCCCTGAAGAATCTGCGCCAACGGCTGCCACAAACGCACATTTTAGATTCATTTGGCATGTTTGCATTGCGATGAATCATCATACATCGCATGCATAATTGGAGAGGAACGTGAAGCCCATAATTAAAATAACTGCTGTTCTCTCATTGGGCCAATTTATTGTAATTGAAAAAGTAAGATTAAACCATTTTTCAGCTCAGCTTTAGACATCTTCGGAGAATCATTGGGGACTTTGGCTACTTGCCCATATCAATTTTCTGTCTTAGTATGAGAGAAACATCCTATCAGGCTACATGCTGATTTGGGCCACGTATATGTCCTCACATTACACAGCAGACTGTTTTTCAAATTGAAGTTCACCTTTTCTTTTGCCTCTATATGTAAAGTTTGTACCCTGAAAAAAAGTAGAAGAGAAAAGTCCTGATTCCTCGTTAATTATATTAACATTTCTGTAACAGTGAGGACAGCTATCCTGCAGTGAGGAGCCACCACTGATGAATGATACTGAGTAAAACTGTACACACTGTGCCACCTTGATTAATTTCCTCTCATGCAGCTAATCTATTCTTATTTAAATTGTTCAATTCCTGAGAACATCTCGATACAGAGCCAGATGCCTCACATCTGTTTTTAGAGATTGTTTTTGTGTTCGGGTAATAATAACGTCTGACTAATGAGGACGATCTCGGGTGTGCGAGCCTACACTTTAGGGAGTTTAAAACCCATCACTTTGCTTTTTGTTTGTAACGGTGTTGATCAAATGTGGATGGAGGATTTGGGTTAATTGTAGTAAATGGCTTGAAAGAAGTGCCTGTTTGTCTGCTTGTCTATGTGTGTGAGAGAGAAGGCAAGCCATTAAGCCCAGAGCGATGCAAGCTAACATGCAAATGCCACAATCAGATATCAGACAGGGGAAAAAAAGGACTGAGGAAAGAGGCAAATGTGTTGTGGACTTTTTTGCTTAAACAGCTGTAGGTAGAAAAATATAGTTTCAAATGAGATTGTATTTGGGATCACTGAGGTCACAGAGGCACTTAAACCCATCACCTGACTGCAAGTGTGCAACTGAAAATAAATACCCAGACATCCTTGTGCATCTCAGATCAAATATCCAGTTGTCATTTCAAGGAGAATTTTATCAGTATTCCCCACACAGAAAATCCACTTACTCTTCAAGATATTTGAAATACTTATCCTTGAAGTAAGGTCTCTACAAGACTTTAAATCACTCTTCATTCAGTGGTGATGACTTTTAATAATAAGTTCTGTAGATGATTGTCACGGCTGTGCTCTAACTTGTTAGGTGGTTTGATCCTTAGAGAGCGACAGAGAGTGAAAGAGGTAACGTATCCCTTATGATCTAGTTCAGCATCACTTATCTCTTCTTTATGGCCTAATTAGTTGTCTAATCGCCTCCTAAGGACATCTTTTATTATTCTCTGCAGAGCAGTGGAGACAGTAAGACTAGAGTAGTGTGAGTGTGAGTGTGAGTGTGTGTGTGTGTGTGTGTGTGTGTGTGTGTGTGTGTGTGTGTGCTGGGAGGGGTTTCAGGGCGAGTGTCTCTCAGAGAACTAGCTCTTCCTTCATATTTTGCTCTGTTTACTCCACCTCATCGCTGTGGATGTCTGTTCTTTTGTTGACATTGGAGCAAGGTTCAGATCGACTGGTTTATAACATGGATTATCATCGGACATGGCACTGAACATATTGCACTCAACAGCTGGCTTGAGATATGGCTAGTATTTATGAGATTAATTGTTGATTGATTGAAGATCTTATGTACAGTAAAACTGTTTGCTCTGTATTAATGTTATACTAGGCAGCTCCAAACTGCAGCAACTGCAGTAAAACTTTGAAAATGTTTAACTTCAGTGCCCAGAATTCCTGCAGGGTTAAGTCAGCAAGAGTTTTACCAGCCTGTGATGCTTTCTTTAATTCCAAGGGAAGAGAGAAGAAAAACATCTCATAATGTGCAGTCCAGCTTTCTCTGTTAAGCACTCACACACACATTTAATTTGTCACTTCCTGTGGGAAAATAACTGACATATCCAATCCCAAAATCCACACCAGTTGTTATGGATGGCACGTTAGTTATACCTTCCCAAAGACAGTAATAGAAATTTGTATAGACATTTTAATGCTGATTTCATGTGAAAATAAAAATATCACACTTATGGGAAAATGTTGCCATATAAAGTGTTTTGGATTTGCATATTTTTAATTGTTGGGGATTTTTCTTGAGTGTGATTACATTTTATCCCAGGTTTACTCAGTTTAGTGGATCAAGTTAGGAACATAGCTGTTAACTACAGTTTATATTGACAATGGTTAAAAATCTTTTACATGACTAATTTCAGGGTTAAGAGTGGGTGATCTTGGCCCCCAACTTGATATACCTTTTAAAAGGAACCTAGAGGTGACAGCATGCAGGATGCAGCTAATAATGTGTGAAGAAGTTGCTGATCAGAGTTAGAGTATATCACACGTGTGATGTGGGCGTAGACAAACCTAAACAGGTTATACTAAAGCAATAAATATATAAACTCTATGCCTCTCAGGATAGGTTAATGTGTATATAATGTGTTTACTCAGCACTAAGACAGCAACGCGTAGAAGATATTTTTATACTTAAACTTGAAAAACAAAAGGACCAAAATAGTGATTTTCAGATATTTCTTCCAGCTAGCATGAAACAGATACAACTTTGATAAACTACTCATTTTATGGAGACAAAAACCTGTAAATGATAATGGATCATTTAGTTGGACTTTCTCTTGAATTACAGTACACACTTTGTCAGACACAAAACAAGTCAAACTTTATCGCAGATGAGATAAAGAAAACTGAACTCCAGCCTGACAAAACTTGTGTCATGTTTATGATGGTGCCATGTCATGTCATGGCAATCTCAGAGGAGTTCTGAAGCTGTTATTAGATAGCCTAAAATGAGACATACCATATATTCATTGATGTGATTTACTGTGTTCAGTGTCTTTGAAAATGCTCTTGAAGAATGTTTCACTTTATGTAACATGCCGTAGAAACATCATCCAATAACCGAAACATAACTATGGATCAAACCGCACAATAAGCACTATTATGAACAGGCTTCAAGCTGAGCCCCATGTTGTTAGAAAAGGTTGCAGGCTGATGACATGTTCACAACGTTGACTTGTTGTAAAGTGCCTCTGAATGTCTCCAAAAACTCCTCTGTGAGCTCACCATTGAAATGCACTTGACAAGAACTTTTGTGACTTCGCTGTAGAAGCATTTGGCCCCACTGATAAAGAAGATAAGACAGAACTCACAAGGCTGCACTGTCACCAGTGCTGCAGAAGTGGAGATGGAAACATGTTTTGAGGAGTGCACTGGTCAGGTAATTGCACTTGACAGCTTTCAACTGAGAGGCTGGGAAAGGAGGATTTTAATGGACCAGTTTGAGCTGAGAGCACTGTTTGAGAATAGAGTTAGTGGCAGTTTTTGGTCCACAAGATGCACAAAAGTGCAGTTCCACTAAAGGGTGTAAATAGATAATAGCCACTGTTCTTAGCACAGCACTCCAGGCCATGCCAAGTGTTAGGTCAACTCTAACTCTTGAAGTGGCATTTAAACTACTATACACAAAACATCTTCCTATTTATTTAATACCAGCTTAGTATAATACAAATTGAAAGTGCTCTTTATTCCATCAGCCTTTAAGAGAGACAAACATTCAGAGAAGATATTTAATGGGAATTATATTGCAGTACCCGCCTTTTTAAGATTTGGTCAGAGGAACAGATCGGGAGTGAATTTACAATATCACTACATATCGGACGTTTTTTTTGTTTGTTTTTTCGCAAATCCTCATTTTGTGATTGGGATTGTATCAATTCAAGTCACATTTGAATATACACAGCAGTCCACCTTTGCGGTGCACCTGAAATAATTTGACCTTCATTAGCTGAATACGAAAAATTATTTTTATGTGGTTTTATCCTTAAGTAAATAAAAATAAGAAAAAGAAAACTTCACAGAAAAGTACATTTCTAGGTGGGAACCACACAATGAGAGTGTAAGAAGCTGTGTTACAGGATGAGGAAGTCAAAATGTCATGGCTCTTGGCTTTGTTTTGATTAATTGGTTGTTTGTCTATACTTAAAGTCTGCGTTCTTAATCTTTAACAGTGAACCTGCTGGATTCTCGCTCTGTGATGGGAGACCTTGGATGGGTGGCCTATCCTAAGAATGGGGTGAGTATTGCTAAGATTTTTCAAATTGCCGACATCAGAATTTGACATATACTGTACATTTATTTTTATAGCCGTTGTGTCGACACTTAAGTTGTCAGCAATCACTCAAGCTCTTAACTGGTTGTCTTTTTAAAAGGCACGTTGTTTCTCCTATTAAGTAGAGGTATTTAGATGTATTACATGTGTGGTTATAGACACATTTAATACACTTCATAAAATGTTTTGGGAGAAATCCAGTTACCCATCTGAAATGTTATGTGATTACCATAGATGATAAAAAAAATTATTGAATATGTCTAAAAATAAACTTGTGTCCTCATAAAAGGAACCGTTAGCTACTGCTTGTAAGCACACTTTAGGTCATAATCTCACTTTCTGTGTATGACGAAAGACACCTGTAACTTTATTATTTTACCCTGAAGTACAGCCTCTTCATTTGTTAACTCAAGGTTAAAGGTTGTTTAATTTCCAAGAACTCTCAGTTCATTATCAGGGTAAATTGAATTCATGAATAAGATATTGAAAGTCACCATGGAATATATTATTCTCAAGCCAGGAATTGAGTTTCCATTTCCAAGTATTCCCAGGGTGAAAGCTAATTAGAGAATGACTTACTAGAGTTGGAAAATAGTTATTTCATGGTATTATAGTGTATTTTAATGAAAAAGAAATAGTGTTTAAAAAAAGTGCATTAATGTATTCTGCAGTTTCAACACTACCTCGACTCATGAGACAGTAGTTCACAGCAGAGTCTGCCACCTTTCTTTGGGAAAAATTAAATTCCCCAACCTCCAGGGGATTGATAATGCTGTGGTTGGTTTAAACAGGAATTCATTTGTGCACCTATTTGATCCACTTGGAAAATCTCTCATATAGTCACAACTCCTGTTGGCAAATATGCAGCTATACACGCCGGACCAATAGTGCTGACCATAGCGTTTTTCTCATCTCTGGGTATTCAAATCACGGCCCACTCTGTGGCTGTATGTAGATGGGAGAGATAGTGCTGACAAAAGCAGCCGTATGCGCAATCATATTAATGAAGATGTGATTATGGTGTGTGGTTTTCAACAATGCAACTGCATAAATAATTGCATTCATGGTAGACTGAGGAAGAAATAATAAAAGACGTGATAAGACAACCTAAGGATCTCATAATGACATCCTATCTTATTAGCTGTAACATTTTCATTTAGCTGTTACAACTTGTTGCCTGACACGGACTGACAAAATAAATAATATCCCTGTTTGGCATTTTAAATAACAGATGTTATAGTTGTCTACTATTTATAATTCTTATCATGTTCAGTATTTATACGACAGAACCCAATCTGCAGCATGCTCTTGCACGTTCTTCAAGCACACAAACACACATTCACACTTGGCAGCAGCAGTCTTCCGTGGCTAAATAAGATGTTGAGGAGGCACGGAAGTTGGTCTCGTTTTCCAGATGGTTTGTTCCATCTCTCATTTTCTCCTCCTCCACCCCTCCCACCCCCATCACTGTTTCTCCTCTCATTCTTCACTTTTTTTTTCTGGCTCAACCCCTCCCATCCTTCCTTGTCCCTGAACATTCATTTTTACTCTCTATCCCCATTTCCCTTTTATTCTTGTCATCTGCTTGTCTTTTTTTTTTATCGCACCATATTCTCTCCACTGCTTTCCTCTTCCAAAGCTTCAATGTGCTTTGAAAGTTCTTGAGACAAAATTGAGATGTCATAAAATAAGTGTTTGAAATTTGATAGTTGACCTTGAAATGTTATGACACATTTCAATGAACAGCACGACACTGACACAGTAGCTTGAAAGTGAAGATTGTGGATTATAAAACAAGATTTTGGTTTAATAATTTAAGATGAACTACTTTAAGTGTTTAAAGTGGAGGCTTATTTTCTATATATACAGCCTTCTTTATACAGAAGCAAAATATATTCTGAAATTATGAAGGCCGTAAGAAGTGCCCTTTTTAAAATGTAATTTTGAACTCTGTCTTGAAAATATCATAGCTGGCAGGAGGCCAGAGTAAATTTTTGTGTTTGGGCCCCCCAGCAGGTTAATCTGGCAATGTGGAGAGAGGTGTGGTGTAAGACAGAGGTGGAGAGAATTGGAGAGAGACGGAGAACTGCAGGACAGTCAGTAACAGCTGGAGATGGACACAGAGGTGTGAGAGAGAAACCAGGCTTGCTCTGACCTCATGGTCCACTTGAAGCTCTACATTTGTGCGCTGCTTAGAAGACAATTAGCATTTGGTATTTTAAAACATCATAATTGTCATTTTAGTTGCTTAATAGAAGCTTGCATCCTTAGCATTAATATTAAAGTACTGTTGGACAAAAAGGGGGGCAAAAGAAACGAAGATGAAGGTGGGAAAAAGCTTGAAGGGATTTTGGGTTCCTTGCCCATTAGAACTGTTTGGCTGTCAACTCTTTGTCATCTAATACCACCATTACGTGTTCCCGCTGCACTGGATGAGTGTTTTTTTCATAGATTGGGCAGGCTGCCGATAATGTGCCATTTGGTGGATGCTTTTATCCATTGATGCTTCTTCAAGCATCTTGAAGGGACAAGAAAAGTAACAAAAGTGAGGAAGGAAGGTGCCATTAAAGGGAGGGTCCCACAATATGGATTATTTTGCTGTCAGAGCCATCTGTGTCCATCCCCTCCAATCAGTCTGGCAAATCCAAGAACCTTTGCTCTCTCCTTATTTGAACATTAGCAAGCAATATCTACTAGGCCTGACACACCAAGCTGACCTTAAAGCACTGACAAAAGCTGACTGATGAAACACGTTTCACTGTACGTCACCTCAACTCTTTTGTTAAGACTCTCATCAAAAGTGTTTTAGTTGATCGCCAGCTGGCAGCTGACATGCACCAACCAGACCATTGCACACAGTCTTATGCTTGTGCAAGAAGAACAAAACAGAAACTAAAAATAAGGTGAAGCCACCCTAAATTTGTGTAATCACTTTCATCGACCGCCTCCGCTGATTTAGCATGCTCAATTGACCAAAGATAAAGGCACGCTAGCATCACAGGTGCTGAACACTCTGCAATACTCTGAGCAATGGTCGGGCACAGACACCCAGTGATGGCCTGATATTGGCTAACAGTTGATGAAGAAGGCTGTTTGTACAGCTCAAGGAGTGTTTGCTTAGAGATTTGCGCTGCTGCAGCTCATATTCTATTTAGCGGATCCTCCATTCTCCCATAACACATTATACTATCATGAAGAGGATCTAGGGTAAAAGGGACAGAAGAGAGAAGAACGAGGAGAATGGTGGAGATTAGAAAGGAAAGGTGTGTGCAAGGGAAGGAATTGGGGACAAGGAATAAGACAGGAAGTCAGAAGCTGCAAGTTGGGGGGGAGAAGCAGTCGAACAGTGTTTCTGGGTTAGATTTAAGATTGGATAATTAAAGGAAGAATAGAGGACACAGAGGGAAAATTATGATAGACAGAATGACGGGCAGAGGAGTAAGGCACAAGCAGAGGAATGTTCGAAAGAATGAGATGGAGGCAGGAATGTGTGTGTGTGTGGGGGGGGGATTCTTGTATGGTTAAGAAGTGAGAGGGACAGTTCTATTAAGGTGTCGTGACGGTCAGCGGTAATGGCCGGTAATAATAAGTTGGAGACAGCTTTATAGACTTAGAGCCAGGAGGGCACTCAGCACAGCCACAGGGGGTGTACTGATGGATGTTGCACACAGACACACACACACACGCACACATAGTCAACAAAATAAATACACACACACTAATGATAAGCTAGAAGGATGCCTATAGGGACAGTCTGGTGTAGGGAGCAAAGTGGAGAAGAGACCATGCAGAGGTGAAAGAGAGGTTAGGACCACGGAAAATTAAGAACTCAATCTGTTGGCTTTTCCATTGTTCATGTGAATGCGTCAATTCACCCAAATCGCACCAAAAAAGCTGATTGTTTTGGTCTAGACGTAGGGAGATTCTAACTCAGGATAATTCAGTCTTTGCAGTCAACAATTTCTATAGGTGATACCCACAGCAGACTGCATTATTCTGAGTAACTGTGGTGTTGTTTGAAGGAAAGAAACAGCAGAAATCTCAGAAACAGATATCTGTAAACTTTAGCGGGTAAATCCCAGAGTATGGCTAGATACTACGTGTGGTAAGTTTTTCTTGGAACTTGAGTGAACTGACCCTTTAAGAAGAGGTTGTGTGAACTGCATTAGTGACGAGAACTGAATATCACATTTAAAAAGAAAAAGGTGGATCATTGCTTTACAGAGTCATTTAGAAATGAAGAGGCAAAGCAGAAATAGATCTTTCTTTAAAATGAATGTACAAACAGTCATTAGGTTTTAAAAGGTACACTGTTAGTGCATGCTTTTGTTTCTACAGTGCCTCACGTAGGTGGTCCTGACCCTGCAGTGTTAGTATGTTGCTCTCTGCCCCAAGCCTTGACCTTGGAGGCCCTTACCTGCCTAATGCGATGTACAGTTAGTCTTTAAAGATTAAAGAACATTTCTAGTCTCAACATCCTGTTTTAAAGGGAAATTTATTGCAACAAGGAACTAAGGATATAATTTCATGGAACCTTTTTAAAGCAAAGAAACCCCTGCTAACTTTAATCGAAGTGTGTGTTTCAGTGCTCATTTCATATGGTATACTTGCAAATGGCTCATTTTAAATCATTGTTTGATGACTCAGTTTAGCTTAAGCAAGTGTCATGTCCCATTTACTTTAGTCATCAAACACTATTAATACAGTAGAGCTGCAGAGTTGGAGGAGTTCCAGCAACCAACACTGGCAACCACGCCTTGTACACAAATACTGAATCCATTTGGTTGCAGGCAAAACTAGAGAAGGTCGTCTGTTAAACTTCCTGCTGGGCTACCAATAATTGTGTGTGTGTGTGTGTGTGTTAAGCTGTGTAAAGCTCAGAACAGGCTGGTGGATCTGTGTGATCTAACCAGTAAGAGGCTTAATGTCTGCACTGGGACTGACTGGGTTGGAGTCTGGGAGAGACAGGGACTGACTCAGTCACACACAAGCACACACATATCAGTCTGTGCATCTACGCTGCTTGTAAAGACCCTTGTTAAGATGATGCTTTTACTATAACCCTGACCTTAGCTATGTCTAACCTTAACTCCTCAACTTATTGTCAACTTCTTCAAAACAGCCCTTTTGAAGAGCGGAGGTCGGTTAAAAAAAAAAAAACTTTCAAGATCTAAAACTTTAATCTAGAGAACTTGATCTAAAAGTTGCTCTGCTCCAAGATAGAAGTACAAGAATGCAACATATTACACTATAAAATATGAACACAGAAGCAGGTGCATTTAAGAACGCACATAATATCTAATAGCACTCGACAATGCCTTAATTCATTCCCAAAATCAGAAACTGAATGATGATAACCAGAAAACAAAAGAGGCAGGTGAGAAGAACAAGTGAGAGAGAAGAGAGAGAGAAAAGACAAAGACAGGAGGTAGTACACAACGGCTACAGCAAGGATTGATTAATATGGGCTATTAAGCTATAACACCAGATCATAGTCTGGTCCCTCTGGCCATATTACGGTGACATGATGAAGCGCCTGTATTAGCCATGGGAGAGTGCTAGTGATGCAGATAATAGCCACGTCCCAGGAGACCTGCAGACGGAATTAATGCTGCTGTCTGACACACACACATACACAGGCATGGATGCAGATGCTCACACACAAGCTTGAATACTGACTGACTAATTTACATATATGCACACACACACACAGGCAGAAATGGACACACACAAACGCACACACACACACATACCGGTACACATTATAGAAGTGTCACTATAGAGCATGCACAGACGAGCACACCTTTTAAGTGCACGTTAATTCTTTTTTCCGCTGACAATAGCTCCACCCCTCATTGAGGGTAAATGCATATATACTCTATAACACTATCTCATTCTTTTCTGTCTGTGGCAATGGGAGGAAATGAGGTGGAAGGGATGAGGATTATTCTGCTATCTATACCTAGCCACACACACATGCATACACACACACACACACACACACACACACACACACACACACACACACACACACACACACACACACACACACACAGAGGCACACACACACACACACACACACACACAAGACACACACACACACACACACACACAGAGGCACACGCACACACCTTCTTATAATTTCCTCGCCACTGGTAAGCCTTTCAAAAAGGCATTGCTGTAGCTCATTCTTACTACATTTCCATGGTTGTCAAGTCTCTGTACATCTGGGTATTATTTGAGATTTTCCAGTAATAGCAGTTTTGGCAGTGCCAAAACTGGTATCATATTATACGTCTTTTTTCTAATCATTACATTGAGAAGTACTATCAAATCAAAATCAAAGTTATTCATAAAACGCATTTAAAAACAACCCTTGTTGACCACAGTTCTGTACAGACCAGAGCAGTTAGAGAAAATCCCAATTGAGAGAAACAAGAATAAAAAAAGAAACGCAGATGTAAAAATCAATGCACACAGGTCATAGGTACTGATATACAACACATAGAACCACACAAGAAATCAGCCACATCAGGAGCAATCAAACGCTACAGAATGAAAGTACTTTTTGAGCCTGGATTTAAAATGAAGGCCGCAGATCTGATTGGGGGGAGGGGGGCTGGCTTCCACAGCAACAGCAAAGCCACAGTCACCTCTGAGCTTAAGTTTAGAACGTGGGACAGCTAGGAGCCCCAAGTCAGCTGACTTGAGGGACCTGAATGAATAATAGAATAAGGGGTTAGAATAGGTCTGCAATATAGGAGTGGGGCAGCACATTAAGGGATTTATAAACAAATAGGAGAACCTTAAAATCAATTCTGAACTTTACTTTTACTTAACCATAATAGGGCTGATATGGTCCCTTTTCCAAGGACCCAAGGGAGCTGGCTGCAGTGTTCTATAAGCATGTTTATCTGCAAAAGCCTTTTAATGACAGGAGCCAAAGTTCTCGAATTTAAGATGTTGTCTATCAGGCTCTAAAAGAACTTTGTATGAATAAAAAACTGAAACTGAAAGGACCAGTTACATATGAAATTCAATCTCTCGTCACAATTTTGAGGTGCTCATACTTAATACTACTTTATTCCTCAACTCCACCACATTCTGGAGGGAAATATTGTACTTAGTTCTCCACTACATTTTCTGTAGAACAAGTACTTGTAAGGAATCTTACTTGTAGCAGAGTATTTTTATGTTGTATTAGTACTTTTACTTAAGTAAGGGAACTAAATACTACTTCCGCCTCTGGCATTAAGTTAATGTCAAAAAAGTAATGACGTTCGTTACCCAAAGATACTTTCCTGATCAAAACTAAGTGGTCCTGTTTTGCTGTATCTTCCCCTCTTGGTGTGCTCTCTCTTCATTATTCTCCCTCTTTTCTGTCTGTCAGTGGGAGGAGATCGGGGAGGTAGACGAGGACTATGCTCCAATCCACACTTACCAAGTGTGCCGCGTCATGGAGCAGAACCAGAACAACTGGCTCCACACCAACTGGATCCTGACTGAGGGAGCCCAGCGGGTCTTCATCGAGCTCAAGTTCACCCTAAGAGACTGCAATAGCCTGCCCGGGGGAGTGGGGACCTGCAAGGAGACGTTTAACATGTATTACTACGAAACTAACGGGGATGACGACGAAATGGAGGAAGGAGAGATGAGAGATGGAACGGGGATGACGGAGGAGGAAGACAGGGCAATGAAGGAGAGCAGATACATCAAAATCGACACCATAGCAGCTGATGAGAGCTTCACCGAGCTGGATCTGGGGGACCGCGTGATGAAGCTCAACACTGAAGTCCGCGATTTAGGTCCCTTGACCCGGAAGGGCTTCTACCTGGCATTCCAGGATTTGGGGGCCTGTATTGCTTTAGTTTCAGTGCGTGTTTTCTACAAACGCTGCCCGTTTCTGGTCAAGAGTTTGGCCGAGTTCCCCGGCACCATCCCGGGCTCAGAGGCCTCGCAGCTGGTGGAGGTAGTGGGCCGCTGCGTCAATAACTCCCTGCCTCTGTATGAGCCTCCCAGGATGCATTGCAGCACGGAGGGAGAATGGCTGGTGCCCATCGGCAAGTGTGTGTGCCAGACAGGATTTGAGGAAATCAACGGATCCTGTCAAGGTAAGAAGGGAAAGTATTTTTGTGGAGTAGGGCTTAAACAATTAGTTGATTAATTAATGAATCAATGAAGAATTAGTCTGCAATTATTTTGGTAATTAGTTAGTCATGTCACTCATTTATCAGGCAAAAGTGCCTCACTAATTGTATGTAGTTATTATGAGAATTTGCTGCTTTTTAGTTTTTAAAATAGTATTTCAAATTTTAAGTCTTTTTGGTTTGTGAGCACACTTGCCTGTGTGTTTCCTTTGGTTTGTTTCTTCACCCTGTTTGTCTATTTTTATGTCCATGCACATGTTTGTTTTTAGTATTGTCTGCACGGATCTGTTTATTCTTTTACTAAGAGTGTTTCTTTCTGTGTGTGTTGTGTATGTGTGTGTGTGTGTGTGTGTGTGTGTGTGTGTGTGTGTGTGTGTGTGTGTGTGTGTGTGTGTGTGTGTGTGTGTGTGTGTGTGTGTGTGTGTGTGTGTGTGTGTGTGTGTGTGTTTCTCCCAAGCATAGTGGAGGGTATTCCCCCGAGCCCCGCAGCACTTTGCTGCTCTCATACAGCCGCTGTTCTGCTTTGACTCGAGCCCAAACATTCCCACCGCCGACCTTAACTGCCATTTCCACGGGCACCCGGGGCCTCTCTATTTTTCTCTCCTTCACTCCTCTCCAATCCTCCTCTGTGCTGTCTTTAAATTACTCAATTTTCAGACTTGCACACTAGACTCTACTTGTGCAACCTAGAACAGCTCTGAGTGGCATGGCGAAATTTCATAAGAATTCCAGAGATCTTTATAGCGGCATGAAGCTGGGTGGTACAGCCATTTCAAATATATGATTATTTGGTAGCTCTTGAGTGTTTCATCTCTTCACACAATACCCTTCTGATCAAATGTGAGTCTCAAGCGATGAACTAAAAGATTGCTCTCAAATGCTTAACTGCAAACAGACAACTCTTAGAGATCTACTTTGTTTTGCTTTTTGCAATTGCACATGTATGAGTAAGTGTGTATGGGCTAACACACCAGATATACTATTCCTCTGCCACGAAGCTTGTATGATTGCATACAATGGTCGCTGACTTGAATGGAAAAGGAGGGTGATTGGTTGGTGTGCATGGCAGCAGTGGTTTCAAGGAGCACTTCACATATCTGGTTTTCTATTGAATTCATCACACAATGCCTCCAGAAGATTCAACAGTAAATCCTGGCCTTTTAAAACCAGGACATCTCTTTGCTACAATCAGTTCATTATAATCAAATGTTAGAACTTAGTAGCTGTGTAACAAAGTGTGCACCATCTCTAGCTTAACTTCGTCAGACATGGAGTCTCTGTGGGGAGATCATTAGGAAATAGCTGTCAGTATGCCACTGGCCTGCCTGGAGTCGTACTGCCACAGACTGTGCAGTCACACAGACTGTTACAGATCTGTGGCTGACAAGGCTAAAAAAAATCATTCTGGTGTTCAGCAGTAATACATGAGAGCTCATTCTGTACCGTGTATATCAGTGCAGTTTAATGACAGGCTGCAGTCATGTGTATTAAAACACATCAACTAAATTTATGAAGTTTAGGAAAGGATTCCTAATCCATGAATACTGTAATCAAAAGAAGTGTATATGGAATAATTAAAATACGTGAACTACACAAATAATTCAGAATAACTCTACATTGGCAGTAGTTTCATTCAGAAATTAAAATGCATGCATATTTTGCATGTAGAAAATGTTTTTTCTAACCTTTGACCCTTGGACTTGTATCTTAACGCATTATTAGAAGTGTGCAGGTTTCTCTTAGTTTGACTAGCTTTAGCTGTTGTCATGCTAATCCTTATGGTACGCAAAATACTCTAGATGGCTTTTTTTTTCTCCAGTTTTTAGCATGCTTGCAGTGTTGCTCAAGGGATACCGACTGACAGACCAACAGTGACTTGGCATTATCACTTTTGATAATCAATTAACCCCTTTTGAGTTATTTTATTTTAGGAAATAATTTCCAAATTCTTAGCTTTCTCAAATGTGAATATGTTTATTTAGCCCTCTTACAGTAAACTATATATCTTAGGATTTTAGACCAACTTAGATGTTTCAGAATATCACCTTGGGCTTTGGGAAACGGTGATCAACATTTTCTGACTTTTTAAGAACCAAACAACTAATTGATTCATGGAGAAAAAGATTGACAGATGAATCGATAATGAAGAACATCGTTAGTTACAGCCCTACTGATGAGAATCCCATTAGCCTAACTGTACTGTATGTGTTTACTGCTAATTAGCAAATATTAGCAGTCTATTATGCTAAACTTGATGTACTCAGCGTGGTATTATTGTCATTTTGAAACTTGAGCATGCTGACATTGGCATGTAGTTCAAAGCACCGCTGTGTCTGTAAGTTCAGCCTCACAGAGCTCTCAGTAGTCCTGTTATTCTTAACAATATGATTCTTTGAAGTAAAAGGAACTTCATCAGCTGCATTGCTCCAACAGCATGCCTGCTTCATGTGCAATACCTCTGTTTATGTACACTGTCAGTTTTAGAAATTTAGTAGCACTTTAGCAAATATGCAGTCTTAATTTTACACAGGGAAAGGAGAAATGCATAGTTTGCAAGACTAATATTGTGTATGTTTTCTTTTTGAAATCTATGTGTTATATTACAACTGAAACAAAAAGCAAAATGGATGGTGTAATGAGCTTAAAAGAGCCAGCCAAAAAGCAGCATTCCCTCTGTACTCCCATTTACAAAGGGGTGTGAGGGTGTTATTTTGATGACACTGTGATAAAATCTGACCCTGCTACCGTGTATTTCCACAGTGTGCCTCATGGCCTGTTTTCACTGTCCTTTCGCAACAGAACAAAGTTTTAATGTTGCAGAAGGATTCACTGGTTTCCATTTTATAATAAGTTTCAGTGTTTTGCTTTCCAGGAAGATGAATTTGTGTGATATGCAAATATTTTCCATTGATTAAATGTTTAGAATAAAAACACCATTGGTGCTCAGAGTAAAATAGAGTTTATTTTTAATCATGGTCCATATATACAAAAAAAATATGTAAACAAACTTAAAAGTAAGTTGTCAGAGTAGAACGCACTCCCAGTAATTGATAAAGCTACAAGGTTTTTTTCTTACAGTTTCATATGCAGATGAGACTGACAGCCTTTTGAAATGGTCTACAGAGAGAAACATGGCAGGGCTTCCTCTCTCTCAGCTTTGTTACCATATGTGTTCACTGCTTTAGCAAACAGTTTTTCATGTGCATTTCAGTCACTCGCATCGAGTCTTTTTTGGGAGTGGGGGTGGTTTCCTGGTTGCCTTTCAGATGTGGAGGTTCTGAACATCTGCCGATCTGGATTTGAGAACCTTCACTCGGTGTAGTGGTTCAATTTCCACTCTATTATGCCCATTTTGCCCTCTCTGTGAATGTCAGTGTCAGCTAAAGCTGTTTTAAAAACATGCAGCATGGTTCATAACCAAATTTTATTTTATAACCTGTTCAGCCTTTTTAGTTAGTGCTGTCTCGTCTTACTGTCGACTGTGAATCAGTGGGTTGCAGGTGTTTATGTGAGAGAAAATGTGTAAGTGTGTGTGGACCTCGGCTGTATTGGCTGTGTGCGCTGCCTAGTAGAGCATGATTTAACACAGCCTTTGTGAATGTAGGACAGAACTCGTTATGGGCAGCTCTTTCTCCTCTTTGTCTTTTTCTTCCTCGTTCTTACTTCCCTAGTTCTTCCGGTCTCACACCTTTGCTTTCTGTTTGTACCTCAATTTCTCATTTCCCCATATTTCTCACTCTAGTGTTTCTTTCTCTTTTCCTTTCTGTCTCTCACCATATCTGTCTGTGACTGCCTATCATTCATTGCTTCTCCATCCCTCCCTCTCCATCCCTCCCTCTTTCTATTCCTCGCTATTGCTGCCACCTACATTAGCCCTCTCCTGTCTTTTACACTCTTGCCATTGCCTCTCACTCCACTTCCCTCTCCCTCCCTGCTTTACAGATCTGTCCATCTTTCTCCACCAACAATCCAACTCTGAGTCTTTTTTCACCCTCCCTCACACGCACATACATCACTCTCAAAAGTACATCTGTATTTATGGAAAAAATTCAACCACGTACACCACCAGAGTGAGGGGTTTTCAAAGTGGCTAAATACACTGGATAAAATATTATTACTGCACTGTAACATCTGTACGAGAATGCATGGTTGGATTTGTGTTAGTAATTGCTTTTTACACCTATCATACAGCCTCTGCATTTGATCATTTTATTTGTCTTTTTTTTTTGCTATTTATTCCCTGCATAGGATTGCAGTGAGCATGCAATAGTTTAAGTATCAGCAAAAGAGTGAAAGATGCATAGAAAGTAAATGTATTTACATACAAACCGTGTGGATATCCAGTCTTGTTATGCCAGATTGTGTCAGATGAGATCTAAAGATACTGTATGTGGTTGTGTGAGATGTATAGATGTAGGCACAACTTTAGCTGAGATAACTGGTGATAGCCTGCAGCACTGTCAGACTGAAGAGAGAGAATGGGGGAGGAGGGGAGTACATCTATGGGTAGATGGATGGAAGGATATACAGAAGAGTTACAGAGAGGAGAAGTGATGGCAAAACAAGGGGACACAAGATAAATTGAAGATTTCTCACCACAGGGTGTGAGGGCAGAGAGACAGAGAGATGGATGAGTGTTGTTTCAGTGGTGATAGCAAAAGAGGAAGGATAACTGAGGATAGAAGTGGGCAGATGGATGAAGAGATAGATGAGAAGGAAGGGGGGGATTGTAGATAGAGTTCAGTCTCGCAGATGTGATTTAGGCTGAATGAATGCTAGAAGGAATGTGGGAATAATGGCTGAATGGAACATTGGAATAATGTTTGAGCTGAATGTTGGGTTCACAGAAAAAGAGCTGAATTGCTGAATGATTTGGATCGTATTCAGATATTATGTTTACATGGAACATGAAAAGCCTGGTTATTTATGTTTCTATACATTATTCTTGCCCAATTTCTGTCATT